ACAAACGCACACATCGGGATCGTCACAATATGCGTTTTTGTTTATAGGCAAATGCAAAAACGCATAAAGAGGTCAAAATATAAAACAGAATAGCGACATTAATGATATGACAAAAACGCAAATACTAGTATTAGTAGTAACAAGGATAATAAGTAGCGGCGCGCACAACGACAGCCGGTGCGATCATGCATATTGCGCAATTCCGTTCAGCGGACGTTTGTCTGCTAAAGATTTTCACTACTTTACATTTTCATGTGTAGAAAAATAGTCGATATGCTGTCTGGCCTCTACGCTGACGAATTTTCCACCGAAAATTGAAGTACCAGCATATGAAAACAGAATTTGAAACCTTGGACGGAGGACATCCTCTCAAACATCACCTCCCAGTTTTCCGGCTTCTAAATCAGTGGCCTTCGCATGAAAACTTTCACGTGGTCGCACGTAAAACTTTGACATACTTGGCAGCTAAATTTGAATTTCTGAGGTGTCTGCACAGGCACAAAACATCCTCCTAAAATTTCAGCCTCACATCTGTTCTGGTTCCCGAGATAGTCATTCTCCCCACAAAACTTTCGCGGGGCCGCATAACCTGGCGTACATGAAAGCTGTATTTGATTCTGCGAAGCCTGATTCTCTCGAAATCTCAGCTTTCTATCTTTTATGGCTTCCGAGGTAGTAATTTTTCCCGCCGTAACTTCCATGGGGGTATAATTGAGACCCAGGCTTGACCGAGAACTGATTTAGAATTTACGAGGTCGCACGAGGGCAGAAAACATTCTCATCAAATTTCAGTTTCCTTGCTCCCATGGTCCCACCACAGTTTCCCAGCCAAAACTCTCGCGAGGCCATGCGTGATACTCAAACGCATGGGAAAGTTGAATTTAAGTTCTCTGTGTCGCACGCGGGCAGGGGACATACCCAAAACATTTCAGCTTCTTTGCCCCCGTGGTTCCCAAGATAATAATCGTTTTACCCTCAAGTAGAGTCTTATGTGTTAACCGCAAGTAAGGGAAGGTTAAATTTAAATTTGCGGGGTTGCATTCGGGCAGGAAACAATCTCCTAAAATTTCAGCCACCAAGCTTTTGTGGTTCTCGAGTTGAAAGTGCGGGACAAAACACACACACCCATGTAACCCCTTATGCTGATACTACAAAGCGCAAGACGCATAAAAATGAAAAAAAAAATGTAGATTATTAAGGTTAATACGGTAAAACAATAAATATTCAATAAAGTGGCAGGTACCATGATTCCAAAGGCAAAACGTCACCGTCGGCGGTGTGCAGCAGAAAATCCAATGTAAAACAGCTCGCACTTGGCGGATATCTGAAAACATTTCTCAATTTAAAGCAATCTCCGATTTCAAAAAAAAAATAAATGGCCAGCGCACCAACTGCCGGTGCGAAAATACGTTTTTTGCATTGTTCCCCGCAAGTTTTTGTCGCTAATAGTGCTGTTTTTTCCGGCAGATGCATCCAGCTAAAAGAAATGAGACTAGCCGACAGGACTGTCAGCAAACATCTCCTTAAAATTTAGCTTTCTAGCTTTCCTGGTTCCCAAGTCAGCAACTTATCCGCGAAAAAATTTCATGGGCTCGTGCGTGGGAACAACGCATATCTGGAGCTTGGGTTTGAACTCACTAAAACCAACGAGGATGGGGAACATCCTCCAAAAATTTCAGCTTTCCAACTTTTCCAGCTCCCGAGTTGACAGCTTACCCCCCAAAAACTTTGACGAGCCAGTAGATGGAAACTACGTGGGTAAGAGGGCTGCGGATTGAGGCCGTACGTGCATGCAGATTAAGTTCCCAATGTTTCAGCCCAGTAGCTTTTGTAGGTCTCGAGATAAAAAATCGGTAAAGACGAACATACAGACACACGCTCACAGACCACCCCTCGATGACATGCTTTTTGCATGCAAAAAAGTGCATAAAAATGCATTATAGCGAAATTCCATGTTTGTGTGTGTGTGTGTTTGGTTGTCCGAATGATTCAACCCCAGAATTATGAAGGTTAGCTTGATGACATTTCTGCGTCACAGTCTCCAACCTTGTGCGATGCCACATAGCTAAAATCTGCATGCACGTCGTTTTCCGCCCTTTCCTATCCTGTGTCTTAAGATTGAATTCAGGGAGTTCGTAGCTTACGAGGAGCAATTTTGACTTGTAATTGCAGGCCACAAAACTAGACAACCCCGCGAATAGCTTTTTAGACGGTATGGGTTGAGTATTCCCATTCAGACGGCACCAACTAAATCGACGGTGTGTTATAAAATCGGCTCTTAGCTTGGCTGATATTGTGGAACTTAGCTTGGCTGATATTTTTCATTGTGGCCGGTGTAGTGAAATTAATTCTAAAATTTTTTTTTCTCATCAACACTTCGGGAGCTGCCTGAGTGGTTCTTTCCTGGGCCGCAAAAGAAGTTTTGTTGGCCTCAGTAAAACCGACCGGACTGGGTCAAAGGGCGAATTGGTGGAACTCGATGTGTAAAATGAAACAAGAAAATACCAATAAATACTGGTATTCCGGCAAATGAGGAGCGAAAACAGGAGACGAGCGCCATCTGGCGGAACCCGAGTGCACCCGATCCCTTCGTTCCAAACTAGGTATGTCAATATCGCTGGGTTTTTTTTCCCTCTCACAACTGGAAGCCCCACTACCACATTTCACTAATGAAAGTTATCCGTATTTTTAGTTGGAGAATACGCACCAAATCAAGTTCCAGGCACTGAATTTGGTTGTACTTACTTTGGACTCATCGACGATGACCCTGTACATTCTTCACACGATCAGTGCAACTGGCAACCGTTGCACGGTCACGGCGACTACACCTATCTTGCTGCTGCCTGTGATCTCGTGCTTGCTTCATTCGGACACAACTGCTAGATGCATTACATTCTGGGTGTCGCTCATGTGGTTCTTCTGTCGGCTTTGTAACATACATCTGCATGGAAGCCACCAACCAACACCGGCCGTGTAGGCGTTGCCAAATTTAAGATAGCTATCTTTTGCAAGCCCAGCTGGGACAACAGCACCGCGCAACAATGGCTGGGTGAGTCTTCTGACTAACTTTGTGACACTTGTACGCAGCTGCGCGGCAATCTCGCCCAGTTCATCGATTCGCACGCTGAACCAGTCGGCTGGGTCTGGCTGAACATTGCAGGACTGGACGAGCAGCTGGTCGAGTCGAGCCTGCACAACTGCCTGCACCTGAAATTCATTCCCTCAATCCACAGCCACCGCTCAAGCCTATCTCTCCTGGCTTTTCTGGCACATGAGCACTTCTGCTTGCTCCTGAGCCCGATCA